GCCTCCGCCCAGCCTAGGCCCCGCCCCGAACCTCGGCCCCTCCTACTCTTCGCTCCTCAGAGGGGTCCAGGCCCCGCCCTGGCCTCCCCTATCCACTCCGCGCTCCTCCGGCGGGCCAAGCACCCACACCTTCCCAACCCGCACTCCAGCCACGCCCACTCCACGCCAGCTCCTCCGGGTCCCCGGTGCTGTCTCTCCGCACCTTTGCTCGGCGTAGGCTCACAGAACGCCCATCCCGTCCTCAGCTCCTAAGGCCTACGGCCCAGCCCCTCCCGCTTCTTGCCCCTCCCGCTTCCTGCCCCTCCACGCTGATCCAGGCCACACCCACCTACCCCTCCACCGCTGAGCTCAAGTACGGCCCCAGCCCTCACCCCAAAGGTAGGCTTTCTGGAGCGTTGCTCCTTCACATCTTGGTACCCACCCCCCGCCCTTTCTAATGAAGCACCGTCTCCCCTGGAAGCCGCCCTTCTCCGCGTCTGGCCTACAGGCACGGCCCCTCCTTTTTTCTCCAAAGCCCCCGGACTGTAAGGGCTCACTCCGGCTGCCCTGCTCAGCCCCGCCCCAGGCCCCGCCCACTCCATCTTCTCTCCGTGGATGCCAGTACTCTCGCTCCCTGTGCGCAGGGGGCACCATGACCACGTTCGAGGCTAAATAGGCATTCCTACCGTACAGTCGGCGAAAGCTCGCGTCTCTCTCCATCCACCAGTATGAGATAACTGCCGTCTCCTGGTGGTCGTTTGCGGTGCCTGACTCAGTGAGCCTGGGGGCTGAAGCTTTTCAGGCTACCAATTATGGGTTCGAGTCTTCACTGCAACACTTCACAGCTGTGTGACAACCACCATACCCCACCATCTTCACCTCCTCCCCAAGTCAAATGCTCTGGTCTCAGAGCTTTTGGACACTACACTGGGGCCAAGGGCAGCGACCCCATCTAGGTAGAGCTGGGGATCACTGTGCCATCTAAATTGTGAGAGGAAGGTGCTCTAGGGTCCCTCAGTTAGCAGGGCTTGTCTTGGCTGGAGAAGCGTGGCCGTGCTGGCCCGGAACTGGGGCGGTGGAGTACAGCGCGAGGAGTCTGGGGTGGGGGCAGCTTGTGCTTGGAGAATCAGCCACTGAGCGTTGGAAGGCACTCGCTGGGAAACTGAGGCAGGCAGGCCGGGGGCTCCCATGATCAACCTGGATCATGTCCCTCCCTGATGCACACTGCCTCAAAAACTTGCTTTCCCGGACTCTTACTTGCTGCAACTTCCAGCAAAGAAGCCAGTCTGGAGAGAGAATGAAGGGGAGAGAGAAAGATGTAGGGGGCCTTCCATTTCTCCTTCTGGACTTGGGACTCCACTTTGGTCCTCCTCGCAGGATTCCATGAGACAACCCTTGTAAAACAGCCTCCCCACCTTTTAAGGCAGTCTCCTGTTTTCTCTTAAGCTAGCTAGAGTGGGTTCCTGGCTTTTGCTTAGTATCCTGAATTCGCCTCAATCTATCTTTTCAGATTTGGGTCCCATTACTCCCCCAAATCCTTGACTCGGTGAGGCTGGGTTGGCTGCTGTTTCTGACCTCATCCTGCTTCTCCCACTTTCAGACTCTCTGCCGTCTCCGCTCTCCATGTGTTCAGAGATGTCTGAAATGAGCCTCCAAATGTCCACTGTCCTCTAAAGCCTCCTCAGATCCCCCGCCTCCCTCCCTGAGGATCCACAGCACTGACTCTGTCCTTCTTGACGCCACTGCTCCCATATGTCATTTATGTTCTAATAACCTCTTAACTGGGCCCTGACCGCCTCACACGCCCTTCATGTCTGTGTTTGGCACAGCAGCTGTTTACTAAGCGAAATACATGTGACTTTAATAAATTGAGCAACAGTCATTGGAAAACACATTTAATTTCAAAGTAAACAAAGATGTTTGTACATTATTTAATTAGTGAAACAATTATTATCAGTGTAACAAGCTGAAAAATACAGCAACTTGATACAAGACTGAGGTAACAAAATACTTCACCAAAAATCTAAAGAATCCTGGAGAGCTGATGTTCAGTGTTATTGTGGGCGAGACACTTCACAGGAATTAGAGAAAGTCCTTACACAACTGCATGCAGGGGTCTGCTGGGAAAAAGACAGCCCAGGAGAGGGCAACAGATTTAACAAGAAAAGAATTAAAATGTAGAAACTGATTTTCAACTTACTTTGAAGAATACATAAGAAATTGATACTTAAAATACTCTCTATGCAACATTTTGAATGCTAAGTGAAAAACCATGCATTTTGGCACAAAATTTATTTAAAGATTATACCACACAATAAATTAATTACTATTGTTTCATTACCAAATGGTCACAGTTGTTCAGAAATGGGTAAAGAGATTAGTGGTTATAGAACAAACAGATGCTCCATGGCGCTGCTGCTGCGAACAGAGACTTCGGGCTGCCTCTGGTGTGCACTCACTTGTGCATCTGGCGAGGTGGTCCACGGTTCAAGGTCTCAACACTCAAGAAATGCAGCTCTGGCCCATGCTGTGTTTGCACTGAACATGAAATTAAAACCAAAAAACCTCTCAAGTAAATACTGTCTGTATGCTGACCCTGCTCTCATTCTGCCTTGGAGTCCCCTGTGTGTCCAACCATAGCTCTGCGCCTGCCTGCTCTGCACCAGCCAGCCTCTAGGGCAGTGGCCTCAGCTCGTCCTCCTTGCACCTGCACTCTCAGATCAAGAGGCTGTTCAGTCCGTGGAGCCTCCTGAGGCCTCTGTGGAGGAGTCTGCACAGGGTTGGCACGCAGTACTGGGAGACAGGCAGGGTCTTGCTGGAGGGGATGCGGCGTGAGGATTGTTTGTTCGCTGAGTGGTCAGCTCGTCGAGGGCAGGATCAGTCTGTCTTGCTTTCAGTCGCTGATGTCCCGGTGAGAGCCTCGCACACAGGAAACACTCACTAGAGATGTGAACAAATGGATGAATGGGTGGTTTTGCGCGAGAATCTGTTCTTTCAAAGGGACTCTTGTTCTTTTTTAAACATGAAATCACCCAATATGTCAGTGTGACGTGGGGCTGATGAAAGTCATTTATGAAGTCACTGAAAATAAGTTAGGTTGTGTTTTTTGGCAATGTTCACCTGATCATAAGCAATGGTGATGTGGGAGGAGCTCTAGGCTCCACGTGTGAAATGGCATCCTAAAAGGTACACGTCTTGGACTTCAGAGATGGGAGGAAGATGATGAAAAATACTGGCCATCTTGGCAAGAACAGAAATGCTTTATAAATTCAGTTGGCAAGAGAGAGTGGGGTTCTTTCCCAAACAGAATCCCTGCAAGTGTCTTCCTCTTAAGGTTCCACAGGGGACAGGGTGGCGAACAGGCTTCTTTCAGGGAAGCAGAGAACATACTTTCTCACTGGACACACTCAGAACAGTATTTCTACTGCTGTCCATCAAATCAATCCTCCAGGAAGTATTTCAGTTGTCAGAACTCACTTGGCTGACCTTGAGTTACAAAACGTGTTCAATTGAAAGGGGTGAAAAGTACTCCCAGGAAGAGGTGAGCGAGCTGTGCTTGGGCATTGATTTGCAATGATACCAACTACCAACCTACTCCAGTTTGTAGACAGCATTCTATAATTTTCCTTTTGGGATGTTGTGATCTGTTTGCTTTAAAAAAAGATACAGCGTATGCATGCAAGACATACCATCCTTGATGGTTCCACACACATTTGTGCACTATGGACAGTCAAAGAGCAAAAACCAGAAACGCTTCCCTCCAGGGCAAGAATCCACCCATGGGCTTTTCCCCTCTGGGCTTTGTGCCTGGCTCCTTCTGGCCCAGCCTCGCGGGCCTCCTCGTCTACAGCCCAGTGAGAGACAGGCCAACACTTGGAAGACAATGTGCAGCACTTCACTCACACGCTGGGCCCTGAGCCCTTGTTGGGAGAGCCCAGGGCCCCTTGGCTTGTCCCCAGGACTCTCCTGGTGGTCCAAGGTTTGCCCCGGTTCTGAGGGACTTTGCCAATGAGGTCTTAAAAGATTCTTCAAGAATCCAACCTAAGAGTATTTCTAGGAGGGGATGTGGGATCAGTGTCAATTAGTGAAAAGACTAATAAACACTTTGGAAAGAACTGCGATTGTGCTATTTCAAAATAGGCTTGGAAGAAAGCATTTATGAATGAGAGGAAAAATTTCTAAAGGGCAGGAAATTATCAGATTTAGTGGAGCCTGAAATTCTGAGGTTTTTGGATTGACATCGATAATATTTCATGTGATAAAACCCAGGACAGTGGAAGAATGGAGAAAATCAAGGAAAATAAGTTGCTGATATTCCATTCTTACACATTCATCCAAACTGAAGACTTTTACAAAATTAACAGGCAAAAATCAGATTGAATGTAGGTTAAAGCTAACACTGAATGGTTCTGGTGAGAGATGTTTGGAGTGTTAGGAGTTCTCAGTCAGCCTCCAGATGCTAATTCATAGCCGTCACTATGAATTAGGTGTGTGTGTCTGGGCCCCGGCTGCCGCTGGATGTGCAAAGCACCGAGGGCCAAGGTGTGAGGGCCTCCCCTTGACCATGTGCAGTTTCTCCTGGCATGAAAGTGCTCTAGACTTGGCTCCAAAGGAGGGTTAGGTACTGAACCCAGTCAGGCTCGATCACAATATAAGGTCCTGACGACATTTTTTGTCACTAATTCATTCAAATTTTTAGAAACGTCACCATTTGATCAAAATACACTGGTGGGTCCTTTAGTTGTTGTTAGTTTACTGGTTAAGATGTTTTCTGAAGCATCTTGCCCAGAAACTGTGAGGGTTGGTTTGATGTCTGATCAGTGTGAGCTATGAAACCATGATAGCAACAAGGACTCAGGACCTGTTTCTTTCCAAGTATCATTTTAGGGTTTCCTTCTCAGAATTAAGATGCCCAGATTAGAGAGAGGGGAGAGAGAGAGAGAGAGAGAGGGAGGAAGAGGGGAGCTATGGTGATAAAGCTACCATAAATAAAGTTAATTTTTATTCATTGTTTTGAATAAAAATGTATTTGTGCAAAACAAAAGTCACTTAAAAATATGACAGTGACAGATAAAGGATGTTGTTCACATGACGAGCTCTTAAGTGAACGCAGAGCTGGGCCGTTCACTCCCCAGGGCTTCGCTCTCTTGTTACCATGGTCATCAACAGTTGTGCCCTTGAACTTGCTGGTGACTGGATTGGGGGCAATACTCGGGGAGCTTAAGGCCTCAGTGTCACTCAGCTCCCCAGTGTGATCAGGGACCCTGGTGGGCCCCGCCCTGGCAGTGGAGGCAAAGGGGTGGGAGGGTGGAGCAGAAGCCTTGGCCTGCAGGAGAGGCCGCGCAGCTGGTCGCTGTGAGCGTGGCGGCCTCCGGGCTGCTGCTGAGAAGCGGGGAGAAGTGTCCCCACTTCCCACCGGGGCAGGGTGGGAGGCGTGGGAAGAGAAGGGCCTTAGACCCTGCAGGAAAGGGGATGGGAGGAAGCAAGCAGGACAGTGGCCCAGTCCACAGTCCTGTAGCCAGGTCCTGCCTCAGAAGCCTGACACCAACAAGGCCTGGAAGGGACCCGGGCCAGGAAGCAGGCCTTCCAGATGGATAGCACCCATAGGAACAGAAAACGAGACACAATTTAAGGCATTGTTTGTTTACAGTAAAAGAATGCAAGGGGACCCTTAACACAGGAGGGATCTGGGCTCTCACTCTGACCTTTCTTGGTGGACAAGGCTGTCACTTAAGGTTAAAGCAGGGCCTCCAAGCCAATGAATGTGCGATGTCATGAGTCTTGTGCCAAAATGCATGTTTCTTGGAGTTCACACTCACACACACACGTACATGGCACACACACACAGAGGGTGCTTCTGGGTTGTACAAAATCTGAGGGAGCCCTCTGGGCGAGCAACCCCGTGCACTTGGGGTGTAAAAAGCCAGTTCCACAGCCTGTCCCTTCTCTCTGGCCCCTCACACAGGTTAACACTGTCCACTCTTGAGCAGGAGAAAGCCCTGGGGACCCAACATGGGCCGAATGATCTCTAGTCGCAGCAGCAGCAGCTGGTGGACGGACGAGGGCCCAGAGAGGGAGCACGGAGTGTAGCTGCTGAATGGGTGTCGTGACCGTCGCTGGGGACTGGCGACGGACCCTGCCCGGCGGGGCCTCGGGACTGTCAGGCCACAGGCCACGGCCCCTGGAGTCCAGCTGCGAGTCTCCCAGCACCCTGGCCGACGGCCTGTGCCCAGGACTTGCGCTCACCACCAGTCCCAGGCGGGGCTCCCAGAAGCCTCTGAAGTCACGCCAAGTTCTGCAGAGACTTATTCAAATGACATAAGGTTTGCAGGTACCTGCAAGAGAAAGCTCAGCCTTTTGTCAAAGTTCCGACCTTTCTGATGGGGACAAGGAGTGGCCCCTAAAGCGTGGGACCAGGCCTTGCCCAGTTAGTCTGTGAATGAGCGGGCCAGGTGGGGAGAGGGCACAGCAGTAACGGCCACCGCCACCTATTAAGTGACTGCTGCGGGCCAGGCACTGCTCTGAAGACTTCATACGCACCCTGTCCTTCAGCCCTCACAGCAACCCCAGAGGCAGTACCTGAGAGCACCCCCATCGCAGAGGCGTGGAAGCCGAGGCCTAGAGGCGAAGCGCACAGCCAGTGAGGGGCAGGGCCAAGGCACTGGGGCCCATGCCCTTGACCACTCTCCCTGGGTCCAGATAAAACTGAGAGGACACAGGCCCTCCAGGAATAGGGGACAGGGGCAGCAAGACTGGGGAGATGCAGAACCCCAAGACCTTCCCATAGTTATGTCCCCAGGATGAGATCCCAGCTCCCTTTATTGGGGGACCACCAGCCTCAAGGTCAGGGTGCCATCCCCTCCCCTCAAAGCTGCTAACATGCCCCCAGCCCCCAGCCTCCTCCCCAGCACTGCCAGGGTGGGCGGTTTCAGGAGATTTGATGAGAAGCAGTTTCATTAAAAACAGATCCATCCCGGGGCCAGCGTGGTCCGAGCGATGAATTCGGAAAGCGCGTCTCCCTGCAGCGGGAGACACTTATGAGAACGGCGCTGCCGCTCGACACAGCAAGAGGCAGGGGATCGCTTGGGGATCACAGACAGAGGAGCTGATTAAAAAAAAACCAGGGTGAGCACGTGAACGAAAGCTCCACACGCTGACAGAGAGGAGCCTCAGAGCACACTGCGGGAGAAACGCCAGTCACGGAAGGAAATAGGCAGTTACGGTTCTATTTATGAAAAAAGTTTTAAAAAACGGGCCCCAGACAATAGAGTAAGGAATGTACATGCGCTAACATTTCGCGGAAATGGTAAACAAGCAAGTCAGGGATCACGGGGTTATGAGATTTCAAGGTTAGTACAAACAATTTTAAGAAATTTAACCCCTCCCAAAAGAAAACGAGTCTTAGTCGCCGGGACTTCCCCAGGGGCAGGTGCATTTCCGCAGCCCCGACCCTGTGCCCGGCCTGCTTGCCGCCTCACCGGAGGCCCTTGGCTTGCTGAAGTCACTGAAATAAACTTCTCTGCTCTAGAATATTCAGTTTTTGTCAACGTTTTATTACTATATACATAGAGCCTACAGTGGGAATATTTAGTTGAAAGTAAATTAGAAATAAAAAAAGAAAAGAGTAGAAAAACAAAAGGTCCCCTTTCCCTTAGGTCTAAAAATTGGACACATACAAAACAAGCCGCACAGCCTTGCCGTGGCCACACATGAAATCAGTCCACTGGCCTTCGGACCAAACGCCTGCTCTGCCACGTGGGTTTGACCCAGTTCCCTGCTACCTGCTGTGACCCTGCTGCCACACTTGGCTGCCCTCCCAGGGAAGGACAATGGGCTCTCGCTCAGAGTGACTATCGGTGCTCCCGGCTGGGGCTCACAGTGCCACCACGGGCAGACAGCAAGACCCTGTCCTCCCCCGCTCCCCACTGTCCTGGTGGCCCACCTCAGGGCTGCTGGTCCTTGTCAGACCCGGAGCCACCCAGCCTCCTGCTCTCAGGTCACTCGGAGTGAATGAGGGGACCCAGACATGCATGGCGTGACCAGTGGGGTGGAGGCCAGCATGCTCTTCCTCTCTTCACAGGACCTGAGGTGGCACTGGCCTCGTTCAAGCCCTAATGCCTTGTCAGCTTGGCATTACCTCGAGGCGACTGGCCACCAAAAACTAAACCCCCCCACCCCATTGTGTAGACAGGCAGTCCCATTTTTTTATGTGGAAAATACATGTAAATACTTTAGAAACCAGAGTTGTAGTTTCTTGTATATCATTTAAAAATTGTATATGTGCAAACATACAAATAATAAGTATGTACATGAAGGTATCCGGGTGCTCGGGGTCGCCCTTACACACATCTGACACTTGGCTTTCTTACTCTTACCCTGGAGCCGTCAGGCGACCACACGCAGCCCTGCCTCCGCCTTCCCAGCTGCCATCAGGTGCTGCAGAGCGGGGAACGACTGAGGGTCACCTAGGTGTCCTGGGTTCTTTTTCTATCAGGACAACGCGGCAGTGTGCGTCCCTAACCACACACTTTGGGTGCATGTGCGAGCACACCCCTCGGGCAAATTCCTAGTGGGCGGGTAGGTGAGTCAACAGACTCGAATGGAATTTCTTTTTAGTTCCCAATGGTACCGCAAGTTTACCCTGTATGGTCCTCCTCCTACTGTTTACTTTGTCAAAGACCTGCTAACTCTGCTTTCTAGTTTCTTATCATCTACAATTTGATCAGCTTAATCATGTGTCCTCATCTATGTTACAGAAGAAAATCCTGAATAGGACCAAACTGAGCACCGATTGAGGGGACACCTCACCCGAGACCTTCCTGCTGCTTCTGAGAATAGCTGTGAGGGCCAAGGAGTCAGTGACGGAGCGGTGACTGCACGACTGAGGCCACTCTGCTTGCGGAGCCCCCTGCCTGGGGCTGGTATGAACTCCCCTTTGCTGAGACCCCCTCAGCCCTGGGGCTCCTGCCTTCGTCCTGGAAGCTGCCACCATCTACCCCAAGCCCTGGCGCTCTTTCCCCAGACGGAGAGGAGCCCAGCTCCCCAGCTCCCTCTCCCAGCGGACCCCTGGGGAGCTCAGGGTGGCACCATCAGCCCAGCGCTGCGTGCCCACCGACTCCCGGGGTCAGCAGGCTCGGCCTGCGCCTGCCTGGTGCTAAGCGCTGGGCAGCCATTCCTGCCACTAGCCACAGGTCCCTGGGAGGTGTGAAGCTCGGGTGGCAAGTGCAGGCTGGTTGGGGGAAGACCTGGGTAGGTCCCTCGGTTAGTGCCTGCCACCTTCTAGGCCTCAGTGTCCTCGGGGTAAAGAGGAGACAGCGAGAGGACCTACCTCGCAGGGACGTTGGGAGGACTGGGCTGATCCCTGCCTGTGAAGCATTTCGAGCAATGTCTGGTCCTGGGGTCAGGGTGGGTGGCGAGGGAGCCTGGCCGCAGGCCGGGCCCAGCAGACCAGAGCCCCGTTCATCAGCAGCCATGGTTGGCTCTCAGGGCTTTACTGCCGTTGTTATTGCTCCTGAGGAGTGTGCAGCCAGGAAGCCAGTGGTAAGTTGGCAGTGTTCCCACAAATCAATCTTGGGGGGGGATGATCTAAACGATGCTGTGGCCTGAACCTTGGGGCGATGCAGCACCTGTCACCTAACTGTCCCTGACGGATATTTCTGTGCATTTCCTTTAGTGGGCAAAACACAGGGACTAGATTCAAAGTTCTGGTCCGAAGCCGGGCTTGGTTGTCAGGGGAGCAGGGGGTGCCCTCCTCACGGGAGCGTGCCTGAGAGCCTGGCTGATAGGCTCCGAAGGAAGGAGGGAGCCCTGTTTTCTAGGGACCCTTCGTCCCAAGGGTGGGAGAGAGTATTTCAGGTGACAAGCAGGTTTCAGTGACTTTACCTGAGGCCTGTTGCTTTTACATGCATCGTCCAAATGCTTGTGCCACAGTATTGCATGGAACCGGGAACCAGTCTGGAACTTGTAAACATTGCCTGCCGGGCAGAGAAACTGTGGGTTAAGAAGAGGGTCACAGAGGAGGGCCTGCCTGTGACTGTGTCATGAAGATAAATGTGGGCATGGGCAACGGATCTCAGAGAGGTCAGGAGCAGCCCGCGGCGAGCCTGGGCTTGCTGGGCAGGACCCTGCCCCCGCCCCCTGCCCTGCTTCCGCGCTGTCCCTTTGGACCAGGGCTCTTAACCGTTTTTCAGCCCATGGTGCCTTTGGCTCCCGTGAAGCCTGTGAACTGTCCTTGGAATAATGGTTTCAGGTATATGAAACAAAATACAAAGGAAATCAATACTGAAACACAGCGATCAAACTACTAAACAACAAGTGAGTGATGGAGTTCTAAACATGCTTCTTTATTAACGCCTGAATACAAGATCCAGGGGCAGGTCTGAAGCTGCACTGTAATTTCAAAGAGATGAACAGAAAGGTATTCGGAGATGTTGCAATACTATGTGACATGAAAACACCTGCGGTTTCTCTCGGCGATAAGACCACAGGCACTGTGGTTATTCTAGCAGTTTAGAACCCAAGGCCTGGGCATTTGGGGTTTTGTCATGTGACATGGGCTCCAAGGAGACCAGTATGACCTTTCTGAATGACAATGCAGTCAGGGCTCCTGGGCAAGATGGTGCTAGAACTTCCCCTTCCTTCCAGCGCGGTGAGGGATAAGGACAGAACAAAGAGGAATTGGGAGGCAACTGGGCAAGTTCCAGCTGGAGCTTTTGTGAAAACGTCCTTCTCTGATTTGGCCTTGATCAGGACATGGCACAGGTGATGTCTGGGGTGTCCCTGGAATCCCCCAAGACCTGCCCAGCCACATGGTCGCTGCCTCGTCCACCGTTGTATCATGGACACCAAGAGCCTGAGGGTGCAGCTCCAGGGTCACGGGCCCCAGGAGCCCAGGTGGGGCCACAGAAAGGATCCCCACAGGCACGCGCCATGCACACCGCTCAGTGGACTCACTGACCATGACCTAGACAGCGTGTGAGAACTGGTGAGGGGACCCCGTGAACACTAGAACCTAAAGCAAAGGAAAAGCAGCAACTTCAAAAGTTCCCATTATTTCAAAAAGCACACTCAGCAGAAGAGGAAACTGGGTTGAGGGGGGCCGCGGGCACCCAGCTCCGGGCCCGCCGCCTACCTTTCTCAGGGTTATTCAGCTGGAAGATATCCGGGTGCTCGGGGTCGTCAGGCAGCTGCACCATCCAGCCCACAACGGAGACCTTTTTGCCAGGTGTGGATTTATACTGGAGAGAAACAGCAGCGTAGCCAGCGGGCTCACATCCTCCCCTCCCTGCGAAGGCTGACCACCCACCCCACCGCAGGCCCCGCCCCACTCACTCCCTGCAGTTCACAGTCCTTTCACAGGACTTACGTGTTTTCTGTCTGTGCCCCGCAAGGACTTGGCTCCATAGTACAGCAGGGTGGATCCTGAGAGTATGACCCAGTACCTGGTCCACGAGGACAGCTACACAGAAAGGGGAGGCCGGGTGACAACACTGCGAGTGGGGGAGGGTAGAGCCCCTCAGCTGCCTGGTTACAGGCCCAGCCCCTCCTCCCGATCAGCTTCTGGCCCCTGCCCTCCATGCCACCTCCACCCAGGACCCGGAGGAGGCAGACTGTCCTCATCGGTGCCTGCGGGAGCATCGGCTCTAAGCCCGCCTCCCCTCACTGCTCTCTCACTCCAAGAGCCCTTGCTCTTGCTCTTCTGTCTAGGGCAGAGCCAAGGCATAACTCCTAAGTGTTTGGGTGACCTGGGCCCAAGAATGTCCCAGGGAAAAACATTTTAAAAACACAGACAGGGGACCAGAGCCTAGAATGACCATGATGCCTGCGAGGGGGCACGCTGGCCGAGGCTGACTGGCTGGGAGCGGGAGCCCGACAACCGGGCCGAGCTGCAGGCCTGGGGTGCAGGCCTGGGGCCTTCTCCTCTAGGTACGAAGGCTGGAGCTGGCCCTTCAGGGGCGCCACTCTTTGGTTTTGGGAAATCACTTCAGCAGGCCTCATGGTTCTGCAGAGGCGAAGCAGATACCCTGCCTTGAAAGAAACAGGGCTGAGCGGACAGGAAGGTGCCGTACCCACACTGGTTGGCGCTGAGTTGCCACAAATGTGAAAGCAGTGGCTCTCAGACCTTCCTGAGGACACCCCCAGGTGTGTATACACACATGTATATGAATGCCAAACTGAATGCAGCCTTATGGAATGACACGCACCTTTACTCAGTGTAAGGAACTCCATCGCTCTCTCTAGTCTACTCAAGGACACGGGTCAGGACCTGCTGGGGGACTTCATCGCCCCCCTGCTGGGCTGCCCAGCGTTTGGGGAAACACTACTTTTAGGACACTCACTGCCTTGCTCTGGCCTTGGAGCGGCCGGGTCCTGAGTCTGGGCACGGGAGAGAAGCAGGTGGGTTGGGGTAACAGGCTAGGTTTAGGGCCCATGTCAGAGGATGCCTTGTGACGCTCTGGGTCCAAGGACAGAGGGCGGCCCAGGGCTGGGGTGAAACTTCTTCCTCCCTCAGGAACCATCTGGCATGTGAAGACCAAGGGAAGTGTGGAGGCGGCAGCGGGACCAGGGCCCTGGCCCCTTCATGGGTGTTGGTAGGAGGGGGCATCTCCAAGGGGCTCCATGGAGTGGACAGGGAAGGCAGGGGCCAGAGCAGGAGAGAGGGGCAGAGCGGATAGGAGCAGCTGTCGCCTGGCACGCAGCTCATGGGCAGGTGTGCAGGCAGCTTGCCGTGGGTGGAAATAACAGAGGCCTTTGTAAGGGACTAAGGCCCTGTCATGGGTGGGGGACATGGGCCAGTGACATCTGGGTCCAGCAAGGGTGGCCTGGGGGCTAGTGGTGGGGCCTGAAAGGCCTCCTGATTCCTTGTCCCTGTTTGCTGTGACTTGTTTTCGGAGGCTGCCAGAAGGAGAGAGGACTGGATCGGGGACATTCCAGGTCGTGTCGCCCTTCTCAGCGGTGGCACCCCGCTGACTCTCGGGTCTCCAGGCTTCTGCTTGTCCCCAAGATAATCGCCCAGCCCTGTTCACTGCACACTCACTGTGTGCACTGCTGTGCGCGTGACATTCTCGCCGAGTCCTTTAGGACATGGGCACTATTATCACAGTGCACAGACATGGGAACCGAGTTCCTGGCCCACCCAGTGGCACAGCCAGGCCTGGAGTCCTGCCTGGCTGGTCTCTGGAGCCTGGGCCCTTGCGGGGGCCGGCGCTGCCTTGGGATTGAGGTGAGCCTGCACTCACCGCGGGCTTCCGTCCTTCCTTGAGCAGCGTTTTCCTCCTCAAAGGCCCCTCCATGGTGGGCACTGCTGCCGAGCTCCCCAGCGTACAGATGCACGGGCCGGTGGGGCTGAGGGGAGACCACTGGTCAGACACCGCCTGGAGGAGCTGGGGCCAGGCGCCCTCTCACTCCCTGGGGTCCACGATGCTGCCACAGACCGGAGGACTCGGTGCTGGGGCCAGGCCAGGGACGGGAGGGCCGCCAGGCCGCAGAGAGCTCAGAGAGGTGGCCTGGGCTCAGCCGCATCTGGGGACTCTTGCCTCCCTCGCCTGTGTGAGCGCTGCAAAGCTCTATGTTTGGTAACCAAACTCCCTGTCACCCAGGCCCTCGCAGCACCCACACCTTGTCCTGACCTCTGTGGTGGCCTCCTGTCCACTTGGGGACCTTGGGGACCCTGCAGCCCCTTCTTTTTGTGTCGGCAGGAGCCTGGAAGGAGCATCAAGGAAGTGGAAGAGGCGGGGGGGTGGTGAAGTGAGAAGGGGGCACAGGGGACCCACACACCGCCATGCCCAGCACCTCTTCCTCAGGGTGCCTTCTCTCTCACCCTCACCATGGGGCTTCGGGCGCCACCTATAGGCGAAGACGCCCAAGTGCGGCACCAGCCCAGGCCTCCGCCCTGAGCGCCGGCTCAGCAGGCAGGAGCTGCAGCTCGGGAGAGGCACCTCCCTCAGGCCAGCGCCTTCCCTCAGGCTGCTCTTCCGCTCCCTCCCAGTGAACAGCGCCACGGTCCACCCGCCTGCCGCTAGAGCCAGAAACCTAGGGGCGTTCTTCTCTCACCCCTCCACCCCTGCGGCAGCGCTGGGCCATCCCTCCGCCTCAGCCATTCAACTCCCCCAACTTAGGGCAGAGCTTGGTCTTCCCTTGACCGGCCCCCCACGCTCAGCCCTGGCCTCACAGCACCCACTCCTGCCCTCCTCCGCGTGCTCTCCACGGGCGGCCGGGATGCCCGGGTCATGCCGTCCCTTCCTCACCTTCCCCTCCAACACCCAACACCTCTACTGCCTTTGAGGCCGCCACCCTCACCCCCTGCCCGGACGTGGCCCCGCCCACCTTTCCAGCCTCATCTCCCCTCTCATTTCTTACCACAATGACTTTCCTCCATCCCAGATCCACCCCCTCTTCCTGCCTCAAGGCCCCGGGGACTGCCCCTTAGTCGGCGGGCACTCCTATAACCCCTCTGCCTCCTCTCCCTTTATTTAATCAGGATAATTCCTATCACCCTTCCAGTCTTTTCTCCAGGGATCCCTTCCCTGTTCTCCCCTGCGCCTCCCCCCCGCCCCCGCAGAGCTCTGGGGCCACAAGCACCTGTGATTTTCTGTCACGTTTCGGTCTCTTCTGCAGCAGCGGCCTCACGGACTGAGGCAGGGCCGTGCCCTCTCGTTCACGGCCTCTGGCCCAGTGCTCAGCACCCAACAAGCCCCCTCTAGTTATTTGCTGAGTAGACGAACACATGAATGAGTGAATACCTGTAGACGCAGCTCCGGGTCCTGGGAGAATTCCGAACTGGAACCCGCCAGTTGGGCCCCAGTGTGGCGTAGAGACGTCCCCTGCTTCAGAGGGAAAAGGCTGAGTTTTAGCAACAGGCTGGCAAGACCAGACACTCTGAAGGGGGCACGAGCACCTCCGACTGTGGTCACCAGCTCAGGGAGCCCCAGCCGCGCCTCCTCCCCCACCCGCCTCCTGGGTCGCGCTTGCAGCACTTCTGGGGCGTCTGAGCTGCCAGGTCAGTGAACAGCCAACCCCAAGGCCTCCATCCAGGCAAGTCCCCAGGGCCCCAGGTAATGATTTCCTCAGGGGCCTGCAATGCCATGAGTGTGCAGGACGCTCTTCAGAAAATGAAGAATCAGCTCTCATTTCCAAAAACCTTCAGTACTTCAACCGTGACTGGCGACACTGTGGGCACCTCCCAACTGGGTGAGACACCATGACGCGTCGTCACAGCCCCTCTGGGGTTGCTATCCTCCCAGCCATCCCCAGGGATTTCTTTTGAGTCGGGGCCAGAGTCTGACAGTGCACTTTGCCCTGGGGACATCCACTGTGCACAGGGGAGTCTCCTCATTCGATCTGAGCTCCTGCCGAGCAGCTGCTGGTGCGGAGCCGGAGCCGGACGCTCGCTCAGCAGAGCTGGGTCCTCTGCCCCTTCTCTCAGCCTTCCTTCTCAGTCGTCTTCTTTCCCTGGCACCCAGGAAAACCTGGGCGGCAGTGGACTGTCAGCGACTACCGGTAGTTCCTCAGACAGGGTGACGTGGTAGGCCACCTCCTCCTCTCCATTACTCTGTCCCCTCTTTTGAGACTGTCTGTGGCCGCATACTTGACAGACGTTTGGCAGGACCAATGTGTTGATGGAGAAGCTTTAAACCAGCATCTTCCTCGTGCTCTCCCTGGGCTAGTTGGGGAGAGCAGGGATGCCAGGGCCACCGGGGCGGCTCACAGGGAGTCCCCAGTGAGTGAGGACTCCCACGCGCCAGGCCCTGCGCTCACACTCACTGGAGCTTTGTTCAAGCTCCATTCTCCTCCCCGGAAAGGGGGAACTGAGGCGCAGTGACAGGACGACGCCTGGCAGGCGAGCACTCAGGCAGGCAGGATTTGAACGCAGGCCGTCTGACTCCATAGCCCGAGCTCCTCCCGCACCTTTCAGGTGGGGAGAGGCTAAGGGGGCACGCGTGGTGGGGTCTGCCACAGGACATGGCCCGGGTCTGAAGCCAGCGCTGAGTGGGCGGCCTCCTGGCCCTCTTCTCCGGAGGCTCTGCTTCTTACAGGTTTCCGCTGCAGCGCACGCTGGCGGACTTTGCCGGTGTCTGTGACACTGGATCGCACACAGCTCTTAGGCCCTGGATCTCCCAGGGTGGGGCCACCTCCCGGTCCCTGGCTTCCCCCATGGAGCGTTTTCCTGGTGGTTTTGGCTTCCTGGCACTAAAGAGCAGCTGCTGTTTGCTGACTGCTGACTATGAGGCCACAAAGCGCTTTCACATGCCAGTCCTCCCGACTCCACGGGGGGCACAGTTCTCCCCCAGTCTTAGAAGCAGACACCTAGGCTCAAGGAGGTGAAGCCACTTGTCCCAATGCACCAGCCTGTCCTTAGGGATGGAGACACACATGCTCACAAAGGGAGACTGGCTTTCCTGTGTGAGTGGAAAGGCCTTGTCAGTAAAGCTGCTTCAGGTGGGGAAAGGGGAAGCCTGCTCCCCTGGAGCCGGCGGGGGCGGGGGTGCGGAGTGGCTGGGCCTTGAAGGGCAGTGAATGGTGGCTCTGCCCTGGGGCCAGCGTTTAGAAAAGTCAGGGCCAGCCTTCCCTCCCATGGTGCACCCGCAGGGCTGCAGGAGGCTGTGACGGGTGGGATGGCTCTGGCTGGGCCCAGGCAACCTCGCATCCATCCGCACCCAGGGGCCAGGCACAGCCCGATCATTTCCTGGCTTTGAGAAGACTTGCTGTCCGGATGTCCAGGGCCATGAAATGCAAAATGAGTGGGCAGTGCTGTCTGATGAGCTCCAGAAGGCGCGGAATTTCTCTGATGCGGGGGCTCCCACTCCAGGGCCACAGTCACTGTGCTGGGAACATGTGGCCACACAGGGTGTCTCCAAGGAGGGCTGTTTTACCATTCCCCCACCAGAGATGGGTCTTGGGGGGTGGCAGGGAGCACGGCTGCCTGCAGGGAATAGACAGCCCTCCTCGGGGGAGTCTGGCCAGGGGAGGGTGTGGGCTGGCAACCGAGGAGACCAACACCTCGGTCCCCCAGGGTGTGAAGGTGGCGCTGATGGTGGTGGCAGGATGGTGGGACGAGGGGCGATGGGGTGGTGGGGATGATGGGTGGGGGTGAGGGAGGAGGTGATGGGTACCAGGGAGTGTGCTGACAGCGTTCGTGCACTATCCTGTTGACTCAAACACCACTGTGCGGCAGGCACTGTTCTTATCCCCACCTTCTGGACAAGGAATGCGAGGCTTGGGGAGGTGGAGTAACTTGCCCAAGGTCACAGAACGAGAAATAGGAAGAGCAGGAGGTGCTGTTGAGGTGGGAGCAGCCGGGGCCCTGGGTCATGGGCCAACAGCACCATGAGAGCTCAGACTAGCCCAGTGGATCAGGGTCAATGCCTGGAGGCCTGAAAAACAGCTTTCCCTTGATAGGTTTCTAGGCACACATTAGGTGGCAGGTATCTTGGGGGCTAAATTTCACAGTTTAACCCTGAGTCCCAGTTACTGGTCTAGGAGGATGGGGTGCAGGGAGATGTCTTGGATGATAATCACACTGAGGCCTCAGTGATCTTGTCTTAGCAGAAATAGGACCCCCCTTTTTTCTGTCTCAAGAGCCTCTGGTAGGAGTGTACCTGCGGAAGGATCCAGGCAAGGCTGTTCATCAGCCGTGACTACCTGCACCGGCAAACCCTACACAGGAAGCCATCCCATTGGCCAGGGCTTGACCCTGGCCACTTCCTGATGAGTCATCCTCCTATGCAAGCAGGAAGCTGCAGCCCCAAGTTCTGCTGGGTCGTGGGACATCTCTCCAGCAGAACTTGTTAAGGGACTTTCATTGCCTGTGAGTCACTCACTATCCTCTGGGCAATGACCCTGATCCACTGAGCGGGTCCCTAGGAGCCATGTTTACACTGAAAGTTCAGCTGAGCGGATCCCAGCCAAGCCTGTCAGATTTCCTCTCCTGGCCAGTAGGGACCATGTTTGAGAGACCGGAAGTCAGGCTCTGTAGCTGGGCAAAGCTGTAACATGTAAACTTGGGAAGTGTGAGGTGTCCATCTTCCCCTCTGAGAGTGGAAAAGGCTAGAATAGAAGTCTGGTCTGCAGAGGGAGAGGCAAACAGAGAAGATAAATGCTGAGAAGGATTGACACGAGACAGGGGGACAGTCCTGCCCGCTTCCTAGGACCTGGCTCTGGGGGCTGCAGGTACTGGACAGAGAGGTTGTGGCAGATTTCTCATCTACCTATGAAGCCGCAGCAGCTTGTGGGCAGGGCCTAACCATTGTCAGCTGGGGCTCAAGGACAGGGTCAGGAGAAAGGCCCAGGTACCGTGTGCTGCCCACTGCTCTCCCTCAGAGGGGGCCTAAGCTCCTAGGTGGAGTCTCAGTTGCCAGATTTCTGTGTCTGCTGCTGAGGACAAGGCAAGATGGCATCTTTGAGAGAAGCCAGTATCAGAAGCTTGGCTCATCACCCAACTGGGCTGCCGCCCTAGGCCAAGCGGCAGGATGGACAGAGTTTGGGGCCCAAGAGGCACCCTCAAGCCCTGGCATACTGGGTGTCTGCCAGGCTCTCCGATCTTGTCCAGGAAGGAAAAGAGTGTCTTTGAAAGCTCCAATTGGAGGGTACCAGGCTTGGGGCTCCACTGCCATGACCCCACTTTCCTGGGCCTCCCTGAGGATGTGGGAAGATTCTACTGGCTACAAACAAGAAAACCACACACGGGGCAGAAACTGCAGCCCCCGCGACCCCCTCATCACCCTGGAGCCCTCCGGCAGCCAGCACTCTCCAAAGCTCGCTGTCCGGGGCTTCCCGGTGGCCAGCCAGGGCTGAGGGACACTTGCCTTCATTATGGTTTGTCTATTCAAAAGGACTGGAATGCCATCTGGGGAGTCTTCTCTTCACCCTACCCTGCCTTAGACACTTGGGACACTTGCTTGCTGGCAAGAGGTACCCACTGAGTGAAATGCAGAAAAATCCCAAAGTTTCCCAGTACTTTGTAGCACTTATGTGCTACTTCCTGCGCGCATCCTCCCTGCAGAGTTGAGGGACTGAGTCTTAGGGCGGTCGGGCAACAGGCCCAGGGTCCCTGAGACACTAAGCAGCCCGGCCACAGCCCCTCCCAGGACCACAGGCAGCGTCCAGAAACCAGACCATCATCTGTCACCGCGAGGTGCACTAAGAGCTTCAGGGACCAGGACACATCCTGGAGCCCACCTCTCCTGAAACGACGCTTAGAGACGCCAAGCATTTCTGGGCCGCCTCTCCTATCCTGGTGCACAACTCAGGCCTCACAGCCTCCTCAGGTCCCAGGACCCCCTCGAGGGCCCACTGCGGTCCCTCTTCACCATATGTCCTTGGGCTTCTGCTTAACCGTGTCTGCAGGGGCCACCCCGAACCTGCAGTCCGGCTTTGTCCCCTGCTGGACACTCCCATTGCTGATCCTCTGTGAACCTGGCCTCACTAATCTCTGTCTCCCAACTCGACTGTGAGCTGTGCCTGGTTCAGCTCTGTCCTGGGAAGGAGCAAGAACCAGCTGTGCCCCAGAGAGGGTGCCACACTTTCCTCTCCCTCTCCACCTCCCACTGGGGCAGAGGGAGCTTCCTCCAAGGGCCCCTCGGATTCCTCATCTTTCCACCACCTGTATTCCGGGCCCATCTCTCACTCTCTCATGCCCTTCCACATGGACAGGCCACATCAGACTAGAGAAGACGGATGGCTGAGTGTTTTGTAATGAACTTTGCGATGCACTTTCATATTTCGCCTCTTAAAAATAAATCAGTAACCATTTCTTTTGCTATCTTCTTTAAAAAAGTTAAATGTTACTTTTTTCTGGGTATAAGAGAAATATTTACCCATTATG